CCCCTGGCGGATTAGGTTCGGACGCGCTCTAATCCAGGGGTAGGCCTAAGGAGCGGGGGGAGAGAGGAGGGGGAGGGTTAGCTGCATGGAAGACCTACAGACGAGAGGAGAGGCTGTGGAATCTAAGAAAAAGAAAGAAAGAAAGAAAAGGATTTAAAGGGATTCGAAAATAGGCTCGAAGCCGGTGAAGAAGCCTTGAGAGGAAACTAAGAAAAGGTTTTACGGGCGATGTCAACACGGGTCAAAATACGGATCCAACGAACACGAAACAGGGTGAATCAGAGCGGCCAAAAAAAAGTCACAGCCACCCTATAAATGGCTCAAAGAAATAAAAGATAAAAATATGGACTCAAATTCTCCCAAAAGCCGGACAAAAGCCACCCCCCCCCCTCCTCCTCCCACCAACTCGACATAGTGAAGTTCTCCTCATTACAGAACACCACTGCTCTCCACACACGCACACAAAAAGAAAAACGAGAAACGATTGAAAAGAAATACGACAAAAAAAAAAAAAACACTTCCTCATGTCTCAAGCACACACAAAAAAAACGCCCGCACCCGCACACCTTCTAGAGCGTCCTCGGTCGAAGCTATATTTACGGCGCGCGGAATTAAGCCCCAGGCGACGACGACCAGGCAGTGCAATACTCACTTGCGACACCTTAAATACACACACAGACACAGACACACAACACACACAGACAAACACACACACAGTAAGAGGGTGTTTATATATATATTTACATGAGAGAGAGAGAGAGAGAGAGAGAGAGAGAGAGAGAGAGAGAGAGAGAGAGAGAGAGAGAGAGAGAGAGAGAGAGAGAGAGAGAGAGAGAGAAAGAGAGAGAGGGAGAGAGAGGGAGAGAGAGAGAGGGAGAGAGAGAGAGAGAGAGAGAGAGAGGGAGAGAGAGAGAGGGAGAGAGAGAGAAATAGAAAGAGACAGAAAGAGAAATAGAAAGAGAAAGAAACAGGAGAAATAGAAATAGAAATAGAAAGAGAGAATCATTCTTTACTCGACTCCCCTTCCTCCACTACTATCTCTCCCTTCTCTCTGGCTACGGAAAAAAAATCGACAATCAATTTCGAAAATTAAATTATCGGCGAATGAATGACCGAGCGTTTTCTTCCGACACCTTTTTGTGGACGCAATGTATTTCAGAACAATATATTTCCTTTTATCTTCATACTGGTATCCTTTTTTGTCCACTGGGAGTAGGAGAATAATGAGAAAGAGAAAGAGAAAGAGAGAGAGAGGAAAAAAGGAAGGAATACGGAGGAGAAAAACGAAAAGAGAAGAAGGGACGAGAACTGGGAACAAGGAACAAGCAAAAGCAAGCACAAAAAAAAAAAAAAAAAAAAAAACAAAGGCAAACAGGCGAATGCCTCCCACGAGCCCAGTCAAGCAGAGGGGAACACGCAATCGCCGAGGCACAAGATAGGCCTACAATATCGAGAAATGTCATCCTCGTCCGTCTTTCCATCAGCCACACAGTCTGCCTTGCGGTGAGGGGGCGAAGGGCGCTGTGACGGGGGGGGGGGGGGGAAGCAGCAGGAGGAGGAGGAGGAGGAGGAGGAGGAGGAGGAGGAGGAGGAGGAGGAGAAGAAGGAGGAGAAGGAGAAGAAGAAGAAGGAAGAAAAGAAGGAGAAGGAGGAGGAGAAGGAGAAGAAGCAGAAGAAGAAGAAGCAGAAGAAAACGAAGATAGAAAAGGAGGAGGAGACGACGGCGGAGAGGAGGACGGGTGCGGCGGAGAGAGAGGGAGAGGGAGCGTGTGGGAATGCGCTAGAGAGGGCCCAGGGGGAAGAGGGGGAAGGGGGCAAGGGGGGGGGGGGGCAGCCGGATGAGGGATTAGAGGGAGAAGCGGGAGAAAGTTGTCCTGGGATCCTCCACCCTCGACGGACGGCCGTCGCTCCCTCCCGCGTTTCTTCGTCTTCCATTTCTCTTTTTTGGCTCTCTTCCCTCCTCCGTTGCCAATGGCTCTATACACTAAGGTTTACCTGATAAGTATACCTCCCTCTTCCTACCTCCCTCCTCCTCCTCTCTTTCTACATCCATCTTTATCCCCTCATTTCTCTCCCTCACTCATACCCATATCCCTCCCTCTCACCTTCTCTCTCTATCCATTCCCCTCTCCCTCCCTCTCCCCTCCCCATTTCCCTCCCTCACTCCACCCATTCCCATCACCCATTTCCCTCTCTCCCTCATCCCCCCCCCCCCATCCGCAGACACACTGCTTTCCTCTCTCAGGTAAACAGGTGACCGCAAACACACCTGCGCGATCCTTGACAGACGGACGGACTCTCGGGACGTGATTCCACAGAAAGTCGTGTGTGAACCCTGTGTGCGCGTCCGTGCGTGCGTCCGTGAGTGAGTGCATGCGTGCGTGTAGGCGTAACGCACATTCCGAAACTCGTGTAGGCTAGATGCTCCTTTCAGAAAAAGCGCTTGTGCATCCATCCCTCTTGAGAGAGAGAGAGAGAGAGAGAGAGAGAGAGAGAGAGAGAGAGAGAGAGAGAGAGAGAGAGGGAGAGAGAGGGAGAGGGAGAGGGAGAGGGAGAGAGGAGAGAGAGAGAGAGAGAGAGAGAGAGAGAGAGAGAGAGAGAGAGAGAGAGAGAGAGAGAGAGAGAGAGAGAGAGAAGGATAAATAAAAAAATAAAAAAAAAGCCAGAGAAACGTGGAAACTCCCCGACAATCAAGAATGGCCAAGAAGGAAAAAGGAGAAACAAGAAATTGAAAGAAAGACATAACACACAAAGACCAGCAACAGCCTCGCCAGCAATGAAATGGGTCACGGAAGACGAGATAAGAGTAAATGCACAGAAAAAGAAAAAAAAAAGAAAAAAACAACAGAACGCAGGATTACGCAACGGAGGAAGACATGAAGGAAGACCATAATCGGAAGAGATAAACAGACATATAGATAAATAGTGAAACAGAAGAGAAGAGATCAAAGAAGAACAAAACACGAAGAAAAAATACTATAGTAGTAGAAAAAATAGAAAGAGCAGGAAGAACAATAACCCACGTATGTGTGTGTAAATATATATATATATATATATATATATATATATATATATATATATATATATATATATATAAACAAGAATAAGGAGAAGAAAAGAAAGAGAAGAGCCAAAGCGAAGACTACTTTTCACCGCCCCCCCCCTCCACGCCCCACCCCCACCCCACCCCCCCAGCCGCTTCGAGTAGGCAAGTATTGCATACAACTTTTCTCCTGCCCCCTGAGGCGCCTGCTAACCCTGGTGACCCCCACGAGCAGGAAGATGGACAAGCAGAGAGTTAAGAATAGATGTATCGATAGACAGATGGATATACAGATGCGTAGAGACGGTATGCAACAGTCCGATTTAAAAACAGACAATGGATAGGCAGCGATGGAAAAGACAGATACGCCAGTAGACACACACACACACACACACACACACACACACACACACACACACACACACACACACACACACACACACACACACACACACACACATAAACAGACAGACGGCTCAATATAAAGGGGATTGCACATGAACAGTCACGGAAACAGGCAAGCAGGTCACAAAGCACCGAGGGAAAAAAATGGACCTTCATTAACCAGGACAACCCGGTAGTCATGCCGCCTTTTATTATTCCAAATTCTAAACCTGCAAGGCCTACCGCTAATGACTGAGCCTATATATGGTCTCGGGCCCTAATATTTCTCTCTCTCTTTCAATCTCACTCAATCTTTCTCTCTCTCTCTCTCTCTCTCTCTCTCTCTCTCTCTCTCTCTCTCTCTCTCTCTCTCTCTCTCTCTCTCTCTCCTTCCCCCCTTCCCCTCTGCTATATTTGGAGGACGCGAATAAAGGCGACAATCCAAAATGACATTTAAATGCCAGGCACCCTAGGCCAAGGGAACGAGGGCCTCTTTGCTATTCATACCCTGCCACGAGGGACGTTGAGAGAAGACAAACCGAAATCATGAAATAAAGAAATAAAATAATACAGCCAACAAATGAAAGAAACAACAGATAAGAGGACCAGCAATAAATCATGAAAAAAGTAAATCCAGTCCTTCGCGCTGAGGAAGAAAGGAGAAAGGGGAAAGGGAAGGAGAGGAAGAGGGATAGGGAGGGAGGGAGGGAGGGAGAGATGGATAGAAATAGAGATAAAAAGACAGAGATTGTGAGATAGGTGATTATATATATATATATATATATATATATATATATATATATATATATATATATATATATATATATATTATATATATTAAATATGTATATATATATTTGAGAGAGAGAGAGAGAGAGAGAGAGAGAGAGAGAGAGAGAGAGAGAGAGAGAGAGAGAGAGAGAGAGATAGAGAGAGAGAGAGAGAGAGCGTGGGTAGAAAGGCAATGGGCGAGGGGGAGGGGGCCTTCATCAAGCAGCAAGCAAGCAGGCAGGAAGGAAGGCAAGGGTGAACGAGTCAGTGTTCAGCTAGCTTGCTTGCTTGCTTGCTTGCTGCTGCTTTTACTTTCAACGAATCTCTCTTCCCCTCTCTCTCCCTCTCTCTCTCTTGCCCTACGCGGCGTGCATGCACCGCCTTCTAGCCATCCACCGCCCAGGGGTCAAGGGAACAGCCCCCCCCACCCAAAGAGCTGCCTCCCGCACGCCCTTCTCGTCGCTGACTCTCTTGCAGCACCGCCCTCGCTCACCCCCCCCCCCCAACCAGCATTCCAGATCCCTATGCCTCCCCCGCCCATTACCCCCGGCTACCCCCTCCCTCCTCCCGCTTTCTTTATTCGTTTATAATCCGCGTCGGCGGCTGTCTTTACCTTCGTCCAAAATCAAATACTTCACAACGCTGGCCATACTCCCATGAGGACAAAAATTAACCAAAAAGAAACAATACAGAAAGGCTACGTATAACAAATACAGCGGGGCGCCATGCAACAAACTGGGAACAGAACAGAACGGACCAAGGCAACGGGTCCCTGTTGCCCGGAGCGTCGCGCGAGCCTTACCTTTGGGGTAGTCCTCGAGCAGCAGGTGCAGGTGGCCCAGCTTGCAGTAGGTCTTGGGCTCGATGCTGATGCTGGTGTCGGGCGCCGCCGGGGGCGTGGAGGCGGCGGTGGTGGTGGTGGTGGTGGAGGCGGTGGAGAAGGAGGACGAGGAGGACGAGGAGGTGCTACTGTTGGTGGTGGTGGGCGTGGAGGAGGAGGTCAGCTTCCCCAGCAGGACGCCGCCCACGCCCAGGGAGTCGTCATGGGCGTCCTGGCCGATGACGTCCTCCAGGAGGGTGGTGTCGGAGCTGGGCAGAGAAAGCTCCTCCTTCTTGATGAGGGTCGGCGAGAGCGAGCACTTCTTGCCGTCCCCGCCATCCTTCGCGGTGTTGTTGTTGTTGTTGGTGTTGTTGTTATTGTTGTTGTTGCTGCTGCTCTTGTTGTTGTTGTTGGCGTGGATGATGAGGGACTCGAGGTAACGCACGGCCTTCAGCACCAGCGCCCGCTTCTTGCTGTTCGCTGGCTCGTTCAACTTCACGAACCCGAACTGCCGACTGTCAGGGAGAGAACAACGGAAACCGGATCAGCCAATGGCGGCGCCTCGGGCTCTCACACCTTATGATGTAAACTACATATTTAGAATGTCCTTTCGGCCAAAGGTTTCCCTCATTGCAGGGGTCGATAGGATGACAGGTAACCATACATAAAAAAAAAAAAAAAACAGGAAGGCAAAATACATCTAGGCCTATTTGTATTGCACATGCATGAACGCGCAACTACTGACATTCACACAAACAGACAAGCCAACAAATACACATATTTACTTATAAAAGGAAAAAAAAAGGAGAGAGAGAGAGAGAGAGAGAGAGAGAGAGAGAGAGAGTGAGAGAGAGAGTGAGAGAGAGAGAGAGAGAGAGAGAGAGAGAGAGAGAGAGAGAGAGAGAGAGAGAGAGAGAGAGAGAGAGAGAGAGAGAGAAGAAAAAAAAGGAAAACAATCTTAACCATGTTCAATTCCAATCTTCCTCCTTTATTCCCACCCCATCCTCCGTCACCTCATCCCCCTCCTCCCCTCCCTCCATCCCTCCCCTTTCCTCCACCCCCACCCCCACCCCCTCGCCCTCCCCTCTTAGCAACGCAAGCAAGAAACCAAAGAAAACGGGGCAAAAAAGCAAGGCTGCCAATAAGGAAGTGAAGGAGCACAAACGCTCACTCTTTTCCACAAGAACACCGCGCGTCATGAAAAAAAATAAGTAAATAAAAATAAAAATAAATCGGCAGAGATAAAAACTTGGTGTGACACTCGGTTCCCTAATGAAATAAATGGGGTTATTCGTGTTGAGACTAATGACAGTGTATTCAATATCTATATACTGATAATGGAAATGCACATGACAAAAACTTATAATAATGTCATTTATAATAAAATCCAACTAAGCAACAACTACAGCAATAATAACAATATTAATAACAACAGCAATAATAACAAATTTGACAATAACAACATCAATCATAACACTAACAAAACAACAAAGAAAACAAGAACAGCAGTAGCAACAGCAACAATCACGATAAAACAAAGGGAAAAGACACGAATCCCAAATATATACATTAAATAATTCTTCCCCTGAACTGCCACGTTACTGAGCAAGGTCGTGCCCCCCCCCCCCACCGCCCCCACGGCTGTGTTTCATGCCTCACGATCACTCCCGTCCTTTGGGCTACGCAGAAACAATTAACGAAGAACCAGTGAAGAACATGGGACAATCCATAACAAAAATAACAAAAAACAAAAATTTGACAAAACTCAAAAAAACATCAAAATCAAACAAAACAAAACAAAAACAAAAACAACAACTAAAACAATACGAAACGCGAAATAAAGAATCAAACCAGATATCTAAAATAATCACACCAAAAACAATAAAAAAGGCAAAAAATAAAATCCAAAACAAACACCAAAATTAACAAAAAAACTAAGATACTATAAAAAAGGCAAAAAATATAAAACTTTAAACACAATCACGTTATTAGCTTAATTAAGAACTGGCATCAAAGGCCAATAAAAACCGATACGAGATCCAGGTGCTAGCACAAAAAAAAAAACGAAAAGGTGAATGAGGAAAGAAAGAGAAGAGAGGAACGAGGACGAACATCAAACCAAGGAGAATCCAGAACGAAGAGGGGGAATTGAGAATAAAACAAGAGAACCGACGAACATAGAAAACACAATCAAGAGAGAGAGAGAGAAAACGAATTCGCAAAGAAACGAGAATTAAGGAACAAGACCGTATTAAGGAGCAGACACACGCGCGCGCGCACACACACACACACACACACACACACACACACAAAGGAGAACTTGATAAAAGACGCACAAAAAAGCAGGAGAGGAATAAGGAAAAGACCAAAATGAGCCGAGAAACGGGAGAGAGCATCAGATATCGGACGACTAGAAAGCCGAGTAATGGCAGATCTTCCACGCCCGAAAAGAGGTTTGGGGGGCTTTACCTCGCCGTCCACGCCCCCCCCCCCATCCAGAGGGACTTGCAAACCCGCACTTAAGCAACCTTCAGCGTCGCCGAGGGGACTTCCTTGGCGAGCAGGGCCTATGTCAGTGGAACTCGTTCTGCTGACTCGGATTTTTTTTTCTCTCTCTCTTCTCCTCTCCTCTCTCCACTCTCCTTCTCTTTAGCTCTCTATCTCACTTCCTCCTCCTCCCACTCCCTCCCATTCCTTTCCTCCTCTCCCTCTCATTCCCTTCCTCCTCTCCCTCTCTCCTCCCATTCCCTTCCTCCTCTTCTTCTCTCCTCCCACTCCCTCCCTCCTCTCCTCTTCTCCTCCCTCTCTCCTCTCCTCCTTCCTCTCTCCTCCCTCCTCTCCTCCTTCCTCTCTCCTCTCCTCCTCCCTCTCTCCTCTCCTCCTTCCTCTCTCCTCCCTCCTCTTCCTCTCTCCTCCCTCCTCTTCCTCTCTCCTCCCTCCTCTTCCTCTCTCCTCCCTCCTCTTCCTCTCCCCTCCCTCCTCTTCCTCTCCTCCTCCTCTCCTCTCCTCCTCCTCTCTCCCCTCCCCTCCCTCCTCTTCCTCTCCCCTCCCTCCTCTTCCTCTCCCTCCTCCTCTTCCTCTCCTCCTCCCTCCTCTTCCTCTCTCCTCCCTCCTCCCTCCTCTTCCTCTCTCCTCCCTCCTCTTCCTCTCTCCTCCCTTCTCCTCTGCCTCCCTCCCCCCACTCCCTCCCTCTCTCTCAGCGCTTTACTATTGTCCTCTCCGATATTTCCTGCATCGGACCCGGCCCGGAGCTCGCCAAGGTATGCCGGCCTGATAACGTAGCAATGCCGACTTCATAAAAATGGGATAAAAAAAAAAGTACGAAGCATGAGGCACCTACCTCTTCCCACCTCTCCCTCCGTCTCGCTCTTTCGCTTTCTTCCCTCTTTTCGCTTTACCTTTCTCCCCCTCCCCCCTTTTTTTATTCTCTCCTCTCCTCTCACTTTCTCTCCTTCCCTTCTCCCTTTGTTATTTTCTCTACCTCCTTTTCTTCTCATTCTATCGCTCTCTCTCTCTCTCTATGAGGAGGAGGAGAAAGAAGAGTGGGAAGGAGGAAATGCCGATGAACAAGAGACATGGAGCAAAAATAAAGAGGAGGAAGCAAACACGAGGAATAAATAGAAGTCGAGTCAAGAAGACGAATATTCGCTATCAGGTAAAAACACCGGAGGAAAGAAGGGAGGAAAGAAGGGAGGAAGGAAGGGATGAAGAAGAAGGAAGAGGAAGAAGAAGGAAGAGGAAGAAGAAAGAAGAGGAAGAAGAAGGAAGAGGAAGAAGAAGGAAGAGGAAGAAGAAGGAAGAGGTAGGAAGTGGGCGAGGAGGAGTCTCGGGCGGTGTGACTGACCCTCAGGGACCCTCGTCGGCGGCTGGGTTCCCCCTCCCCTCCTCCTCCCCCTCCTCCTCCTCTTGTTCCCCTCCTTCCCCTTCCCCTCCTCCTCCTTCTATTTCTTCTTCTTCATCTCCTCCTCCTCATCCTCCTCCTCCTCCTCCTTCATCTCCACCTTTTTCTCCTTCTTCATCTCTTTCTCCTTCTTCTCCATCTCCTTCTCCTCCTCCTCCCCCTCCTGTTCCATCCCTCCTACCTTCCCTCTTGCTTTCCTACCTTCTTGCACCCTTCCTGGTTCCCCTCTTCAATCCACTTTCCCCTTTTTTTCTCTTCCTTCTTCCTACTCTTTCTCTTTTACCGACTCCTCCTCCTACCCTCATATCTAACCCTGCTAACCCTTCCCCGCAAAAAATAATAAATAAATAAATAAATAATAATGCTTCCTGACAGATACTCAACAGACATAATGAGAATATTCCGTTTGGCCATCGACAATAGAGGCTGTATGGTAATTATGCTAAGACTAATCATAAAATGACAATAATAGCAATAATAATACACGCTGACAGTAAAGTTTAATCAAGATCACAATTATAGTAGTGATACACATGAGCATGAGAATCATTATAATAATAATGACAACTACTAATAAAAACAAATTGCTTTTGGAATAAAAAAATATATATAAACCACACCTCGCAAATATAAAGAATCGCATACAATACATACGTACATACACACACACATAATATAAACCATTCTTCACAAATATACAAAATCACATACAATACATACGTACACGTACACGTACACGTACACACACACACACACACACGCGCGCAAAAAAAAAAAAAAAAAAAAAAACAAACACAAAACACACAAAATCACACACACACACAAAACACAAACACACGTGCTAAAAATATCCTATACGTCGCCCGTGGACGGAGGTCAACAGCAACGCATAAGCAACCCAGGAACGACAGCCAGTGTCTCCCGCGTGACGTCACACCGTCCAAACGCAGTCCTCGCCTCTAATCAGCTTAAATTATGGCCGAGGATGACTCACGCCGCGCACTCACTCACTCGCTAGGAAACACTATGGACTGCTCCTTTACTCTCCCGGCCGCAGGGTGGAACAGCAGGTCCAAGAGAGCAATCACCATAAACAAAACAAAACAATGAATAAACAAACATAAGCAAAAACGAAATCACAAAACTGTATCTTCAGCATCCCCCCCCCCCCCCCGGTGCTTACTGGCCAAATAAAATGCACACTGATACATCCCCTCGCTATTTGGTTTACGCGCAGGCAATAACCGTCACACACTTCGAATTTATGAACACCTGTTTCACTGACCATTGACTCCCGCATGCCAATACTGCCCTCCGCGCTCGGGACGCACGCAGGGTTTTTACGAAATACCTGTAAGCTCAATATATCAATTCATATATGCATGGGCATGTATACATGTATGCATACATATATACATGACTACATACATGTATGCATACATACATACATATGACTACATACATGTATGCATATATACATACATATGACTACATACATATATGCATACGTACATTCATGCCTGCACATATATACATACATACATGCACATATATACATACATACATGCACATATATACATACATGCATGCACATACACACAAACACACACACAC